CGATCACTCTGATCAGTTGACCGACCAGAGGATGGATTTCATTCGACAAAACTCATATACATTAAAACACATTTACACACACACACACACACACACACACACATATATATATAATCGATCTCAATCGATTAAAACTAGATCCATTCATTCTAAAATGATCTCCACTCATATTAAAACTCAATTATTATTATTTCCATAATATTTTCAAATTTTAGGGGTTTTACATTCACCCCTCTTTAAAGAGAATTTCGTCCTCGAAATTCAGCAAATAATCACAATGCATGTATCATACACACAAAGTTTACACGTAACTTCTAGAATGTGAATACTCCCACTTAAGCTCTAATTAAATAGAACTAGTACGTTGGGCGAAAAATCCAAACAAGGAACCCCCCCCTATGTATATATAATATGTTCCGAATGATTAGGTGTTTAGTGTTAATACCCACATTCCAGCGTGAAGTGTAAATGCGACCTTATAAATAAGTTGAAAACCAATAATATAAATATCAGCAATATACCTGCTCGAACAGGTGTGAGTAGTCACGACGCATATCCTCCTTGCGCTCCTAGGAAGCTTCTTCAACTCCCTTCCTGTTCCACTGTACCTTTACTAATGGGATGACTTTATTCCGGAGCTTCTTGTTCTCCCTTGCAAGAATGATGATCGGGGTCTCAATTGTAGTCAAATCCGTCTGAAGTTCTAAATCTGGTACATCAACCACTCTCTGTTGTTCTTCGTCTTGTAAGTGTTTCTTGAGCATCGAGATATGAAATACATCATGCACACCCGACATCGATGCTGAAAGGTCTAGTCGGTATGAGACAGCTCCAGTACGATCTACAATTCTGTACGGACCAATATATCTCAGGAAAAGCTTTCCCCATTTACCAAACCGTTTAACACCTTTCATAGGTGACACATTCAATAAGACGTTGTCTCCAAAATAAAATTCTAAAGGTCGTCACCTCTGATCTGCGTAACTATTCTGCCGGCTCTAGGTTGTAAGAATACGCTCTCGAATCAACGCTACCTTCTCTGTAGTCTGTCTCACAAGATCTGGTCCAAGTAGTAAGCTACCCTCTGGCTCTGCCTAACAAATTAGAGATCTACAGGGTCTCCCATACAATGCTTCATAAGGAGTCTATGGTCGATTGGTAACTATTGTTGTAAGCAAACTCAATTAATGGTATATGATCTTTCCAACTGTCTTGGAAATCCATCACGCGTGTCCGAAGCATGTCCTCTAATATTTGATTGATTCTCTCTGTTTGACCATCCGTTTGTGGGTGGAAAACACTACTCTATACTAGCTGGCTGCTGAAAGAATTCTGGAAGCTCTTTCACAAATGTGATGTGAATACTGAGCCACGATTCGATACGATCGTCTATAGAACTCCATACAATCTCACAATCTCTCGAATAAAAATCCTTGCATGAGTTTCTGCAATATGAGTTGTCTTAACTGGTAATAAGTGCGCTGACTTCGTCAATCGATCAACAATAACCCAAATAGAATTATTTTCTTTGATAGACCTCGGCAATCCCACAATAAAATCCATCGAAATATCTGCCTCCTTCCATTCAGGAATGGGTAAGGGCTGTATGGTTTCAGCTGGTCACTGACTTCTGCTTTCACCTGCTGACAGGTAAAGCATTTAGATACATACCCCGCTACATCCATACTCATGTCGTTCCACCAGAAATGTCTTTTTAAGTCCTTATACATTTTGGTTGTAGCTGGATGTACCGTGTACCTCGTACGGTGTGTCTCACCAAACAAGTCCTTCTTCAATTGCGGATTATCTGACACTACTAGCCTCCCTTTCATTCGAAGGCCCCCATCTGATCCGATGGTCAAATCTACTTTGGGCTCTTTGGAAAGTTTCCCTTTTGGGTTTGAATCCAAGAGTCCTCCATTTGAGCACTAACCACTCTATCAATTCATGATGGTAGTATTACTAACACCCCCAAAAATGCACTGCATCCGCTAATCTCTAGCCTGAAGTCAAAACTGACTGAGCGTAAGAATGTCTCGGTACAACAAGCATCTTAAAGTTGTAAGTCTGTGACAATGCTTCCTGCTCAAAGTATCCGCTATGACGTTGGCCTTCCTCGAATGGTACTGAAGCGCAAACTCATAATCCTTAATGAACTCGACCCATCGCTGCTACCTCTAGTTAAGTTCCTTCTGAGAAAAGAGATATTCCAGGCTCTGATGATCTATGTATAACTCGAACTGGACCCCATATAGGTAATGTCTCCACGTTTTGAGTGCGAAGACCACCGTCGCCAAGTCTAAATCGTGAGTGGGGTAATTCTGCTCATGAGTCCTCAACTGCCATAAGATGTAAGCAACCACCCTCTGAGTTTGCATCAAAACGCCTCCTAATCCTAAAAATGACGCATCCGTGTAGACAACAAATATCTTGTCACTGCTCGGAATGATCAACACTGGTGCGATAGTCAGCTTAGCCTTTAATTCTCAAAGGCACTCTAACACTCTAGCCCCCAAACAAACCGAAAACTTTTTTCATAAGGCGTGTCAGTGGATAGTAATTTTAGAGAAATCCTGAATGAATTTCCTATAGTAACCGGCAAGCCCCAAGAAGCTACGAATCTCCATGATTGTCTTAGGCGGCTCCCAATCAAAAACTGCCTCGACTTTAGCTAGATTAACTGTAATACTCTCCTTTCTAATAACGTGGCCCAAAAATCTAACCTTTGAAAGCCAAAACTCACATTTGTTAAACTTTGCATACAACTGGTGCTCCCGCAAAGTCTGCAATGTCAAATGAAGATGCTGCTCATGCTCGGGCTCTGACTTCGAGTAGATGAGGATGTCGTTGATAAAAACGATCACGAACTGGTCCAAATATGAACGAAAAACCTGGTTCATCAAATTCATGAATATTACAGGTGCATTAGTTAACCCAAATAGCATGACAAGAAATTCAAAAGACCCATACCGAGTCAGAAATATGGTCTTAGGAATACCATCTCCCGAACCCGCAACTGGTGATAACTAGATCAAAGGTCAATCTTCGAGAAACACTGTGCTCCCTGCAACTAGTCGAATAAGTCATCAATCCTCGGTAACGGATACATGTTCCGGATAGTGACCTTATTTAACTCATTATAATCAATGCACAAACAAAGGTTGACGTCCTTCTTCTTCACGAAAAGGACCGGTGCTCCCCACGGAGAATGACTCTGGTGGATAAACCCCTGAGCAATGAGCTCCTCTAACTGAGTCTGTAACACCCTCATCTCAGCAGGTGTCATATGATAAGGTGCACGAGATATCGATGATGTTCCCAGTTACGCTCCATGCAGAACTCAACCTCTCTCGCTGGAGGCAATCTAGGTATGTCCTAAAAGACATCCTGATACTCTGAGACTACTCTGGTCTCGTACAAATCGGCTCCCTGATCCCGCTATAACACCTCATCGATGTATGCCAGAAATAACTCTGTAAATTGGTTCCCCTATGAGGTTGTTATAACCAACTCAGTCCCATTGAACGCTCGCAAACTGACTGTTTTGACAAAACAGTTGATATTAACATGGTAGGAAGATAATCAATCCATACCAAGAATCACATTGAACTCAGATATGCGCAAGACGATCAAATCAACTACGAACTTAGACTCGTCTAGGCTGACAATACATCTCCTACAGATACTCTCTAATAAGAAGATATCCCCTAAAAGAGTAGAAACTGATAAAGGAATGTCTAAATGATGTGCAACTAGCTAAAGCCTATCCATGAATGCAAAAGATATAAAGGAGTGCGAAGCTCTTGAATCAAAAAGAATCCGGGCTGGGAAGGAGTTCACAAGGAATGTACCTTCTACCATGACCCTGCTCGCACCATGATCACGTGGTACAACTACATAAACTTGACCGAAAGCTACGGTCTATTGTGCTGAAAGCTCTGGAGTATACGGAACCATCTGTCTCTGAGGTAGCTCCTGAATAGCATGTACTTGGCCCTCTATCCTCTAAACGATCGATCCTGATTCAATTCTCTGTTGTTGATCGTGCCCACGGCCTTGTCCACGGTTCTGCTGCTATCCCTGACCTTTACCCTATTGTCTTCCTATCGGTGTGCTGCGATAGTCTCTGGCTAGATGTTCATACTTATTACAATTGTAACAATTTCCTTGAAATTTGCGCTGCTTTGGCTCCTTCTGATCCTGCTGTCCCTTCTGACGAGGACCTTGATGTTGCTGCTACTGTCCACTCAGACGAGGCCCACTCTGCTGTTGAGGTCTTCCAGGTCTTGCGAATGATCTCTTGCCCTTGCTTTTCTCCCCATACTGCCCTGCTTTAGAGCTTCCCTCTTTGCTCTTTTGAAACATAGCGGTCTCAGCCTCCTGGAAGATAGCGGCATCGGCCACCTCTCGTACAGAACAATAACGACGGGATACCAGATAGCGACGAATGTTGGGGCAAAGTCCCATAAAAAATATTTGAGTCTGACGCTCCCTTGTGTGCCACATGCCTATGAACCTGAGTAAATTCATGAATTTGCTTTCATAATCAGCTATTGACATGTCTCCCTGCTCTAATCGAGATAGCTCTGCCTCTTTCCCAGCCTTTGCTGATGAAGATATATACTACTCATCAAAGAAATAAATAAAGTCCTCCTAACTGAGTGTCATCCTCCGCTCGGGTGTAAACTGAAGTCTATACCACCCCCGGCGTCGCCCTCAAGGTTAAATGCTATCAGCCTCTGCTTCTGGACCGAATCGACGTCAAGCATATCTAGGATGTTCCACACATCTTCCTTCCACTTATGGGCTACAAGTGAGTCCGATGAACCCTGGAACTCTGGTGCCCTTAGCTTCTGATATCTCTCCACCAATCGGAGCTAAGCCTCCTGCTCTGTGACTCTGTCAACAACTAGTGGTGGTATGACTTCTGGAACGACTAGTGGTGGAACCACAGGAGGTGGTGTTGCTGGCGGAACCTGATTCGGACACTCTCTCCTCGAGCGCTGCCAATCTGGCTGCAATTAGCGCCATAAGGCCAATCAAATATTGTGGAGCTTATTGCAGCTCGGGCTTTGGTTCAGCTTACTCAGCTCTCTGGGTACGAGATCTACCACGACTGTGTCCTCGTCCTGACATCTATAAGTTCAGGAGGAAAGCTTATTAGTCACAATGAATGAGACCACAAGCATATATAACATAGCATATAGCAATAGGAAAAACATAACACATAGTATCCTTGAAAACACTTTATAATCAAAGTAAGATAAGCATAAAAAAATTCTTGAAAATTTTCGAGTTATACACATAACGGCCTCACTCAAATCTAGGAATTCCAAGCAAACTCTTTACATGAGCCCTAAGGAAACTCTATACCAGCTACATGACTCTTCTCAAAATTTTGTTGTTATGCGTATTTCGGCCCTCACTCAATCTAGAAATTTCTAGCGAGCTCTATACACGAGCCCTAATGAAACAATATACTAGCTTCACGACTCAACACATGATATCCTAAAGATGTTAGAACTAGAGCTCTGATACTAACTATGACACCCCTGATTTCACACATGACTGTAGTCCAAGGTGAACCCAAAGTGTCAAACCCGTCATGCACCCAACACTGCACAAAAACATGTTTCACCATCACATTAATATCTCTCTAGCATATATTAAAAATAAAATGAGGGTACAAGCAGATACGTCAAAGATAACAATACAAGGAACACAATATAGAGAAGAGGTAGTCAATACTAATAATTGTGTTCCAATAGAAAAAAAAGAAAATACATCTGATAAACTGAAATAAAAACATAAAATCTCTAATACATAAGAGTCAACTAAAAAGTACATAGGCTCTCAGCCTCCAAAATAAAATACATCTCTAAAAGAAAACTAAAATCATAGATAATCCACTGTG